GGGCATTTAAAGACTATACGGGAAACTTAGTTTTGTAATAATGCATGTGCATATGTCTTTTTAATTTGGCGCACATGAATACATCAGACTATGAATAGATCATGTTTCTTATATTGCTGGCTACATTTACTGACTGAAACCAAGCCAAACAAAAACTGAGCGCTGCTTGTTCTGAAGAATTAATGTTATGCTCATATATCTTGCATGCTTTGTCTCGCTCGCTATCCCGCACTTTTAAGTCCATTTAGAAGGATTTACGGGCGACGTGCGATCGGATTCTAACGACTCATCACTTTGGGCCGGTAATGCGATCGTGATGTACGTCAAACGCGAGTCGGCGGGGCCAGCGACGGGGCCACGGCGCCCGTCAACAAGGGTTACGTGCCGCTCTGGACCCGCACCCTGCTCCGTCTTCTGTAATGGGTCAGCCGACTGCCTGTGGGGGCCCAAATGTGGGTCGGCGCCTCCTCCCCCCTGCTCCACCGCCCTCGCTCCCGCTTTGCAGGCCGCCGGCTCGGAGCCGACTCGCCGGCCCGTCAACTAATTTGGCGGGGAAAATTGGCGGGAGGACCGGAGCATGGACGTCCGGCTTACGCTCCAGTGCACCCAGTTAAGGCGCCTCGTCTGCCGGCTGGTGATTGATCGACGCCGGGCCTCCGATACGGCCGGGGTCGGACGGGCAGGGACTGGGCCGCCGGAGGTGCGGCCCGGTCCGGCCGGCGTGGGTCCGTCGGCAGCCTGAGCAGGTCATCACCATACCAGCCGAGCTCCAGAGGTCCGGCACAGCACGTCAGGGACGTCTGAGTTTTCGAGCGGGGCGCGAGGAGGGGGGGGGGGGGGGCGGTGGTCTTATATTCTATCCATCATATTGCAGGGATTCCTTCTGTAATTTGCTGAGCGCTGCTGATCATACCATAGGTGATTAACCATTCTAGATTTTCCGTCACACTGTACCATATTGTAGTTACTGTCCTTAACTTGCTGTCATGTTTTAATCAGTTGCCTTTTTTGCAAAGCATCGAATTTCACACATTGCGCGCATTGGACTTGTTACTACGTGCTCGAGTTCGGTAGCAGACAGCCTTTTCCGTCTGGTCCAATACACATGGTCCAAACCAAATAGTCCAAGTCGGAAAGATATCTCCCGGAAATATCAGAGCTGTCCGTCATATTTTTCGCTGACTCTTTCAATCTGTCTGACAGTTTCCCGACTCGTTGTGAAAGAGGAACATTTCCATACTCAATGCATCACTGGACACGGGTCGAGGCTCTGGCTTTGAAGCGATTCTGGAGTCGTGTTATTTTTGCGTGTGAGGCTATCTTTTGGGACAGGTGGCAAAGAACGGCCGCTGTGGCGTGCGCCGGGCTGCTCTGAAAGGAATTTCGTTCATCAGGCGAACGTTGGCAGATCAGTGTCGTGGCTGGCAGACCCGTGTTCCTCTTCCATCGCGTGAAGTTTGCCTTCATTCATTCAGAGTAAGAGCAGAGTACGATTTTGAACCGACTGGCTCCGACTCTGGAAACCGTGAAAGGGACTTTGTCGCAATCATGAATTAACTTTGACTGGAATTATTCCAGTGACAACGGTTTGGGTATGGGAGAGAGAGAGAGAGGGAGAGAGAGAGAGAGAGAGAGAGAGAGAGAGAGAGAGAGAGAGAGAGAGAGAGAGAGAGAGAGAGAGAGAGAGAGAGAGAGAGAGAGAGAGAGAGAGAGAGAGAGAGAGAGAGAGAGAGAGAGAGAGAGAGAGAGAGAGAGAGAGAGAGAGAGAGAGAGAGAGAGAGAGAGAGAGAGAGAGAGAGAGAGAGAGAGAGAGAGAGAGAGAGAGAGAGAGAGAGAGAGAGAGAGAGAGAGAGAGAGAGAGAGAGAGAGAGAGAGAGAGAGAGAGAGAGAGAGAGAGAGAGAGAGAGAGAGAGAGAGAGAGAGAGAGAGAGAGAGAGAGAGAGAGAGAGAGAGAGAGAGAGAGAGAGAGAGAGAGAGAGAGAGAGAGAGAGAGAGAGAGAGAGAGAGAGAGAGAGAGAGAGAGAGAGAGAGAGAGAGAGAGAGAGAGAGTACAAAATTCGCTGTCAGTATGTACAGATCAACGCGGTGAACATTGTTGCGCCTACAGGCTCTTCCGAGATGGGATACGACCTACTTGATAAAATATGTGTGTCATTGAGAATGATTAAGTGTGGGATGCTTCATTTGCGAAGTCGCGTACCACGGCAAAAGGTTTGCAGTGTGCTTGCACTCGGAGTGTTGCTGCCGGAGATCGCGACTCGCTGCTGGAAATGTTGCTGCCGGAGATCGCGACTCGCTGCTGAAAGTGTTGCTGCCGCAGATTGCGACTCGCTGTGGAAGCAGATCGCCATGCTTAGGAGACACTTGCATTTGTTTCCTTAGCCTCGGGCATAATTTTCCCTTTATATTAGCTAGGGTTTTCATGCCCAGGCGTTGCCGGACAAGCGAGCACTTTTCCGTGCGGCCGAAAAATATTTTCAAGGCTCTCTTCTGCACACGCTCATTCCGTTGCGCCTGCTTGGCGGTGAGTTCCGCATAAAAAACCGGTGCACAATATTCCAGCACTGATCGAAGGTAATTAACATAAGCCCGAGCAAGCTGTTCCTGTGGTGGGTGAGACTCCTTCGTAGATGTAGAGTATATACTGATATCGAGTATGCCTTGAGTTTTCGCCACTTTGGTTACACTCTCATCCACATGCGCTTGCCATAACATGCCATTTGACATTGTTACACCTATGAGCTTAGTTTTGGTGGCATTGGCCGATTTTTCCATAGATTATGATATCCGGAAGTGTGGATGGTTTCTTGGCTGTGAACAAAAATGCATAATTTGACACTCGTCGTTGTATAAAGTCATCTTGTTTGCGGTTGCCCTTACACGGCCAAGTTACACCACGTCATAAACTTCGGACATGGTTTCATGACATTTTCGGTCAGGGGTTTTGTTCTGACACTTTTGAACTTTCGCGTCACAGGGATCTCGTCACGTTTTGTTCATTGAAACATAATGGAAATGGACATGATTTTGGATGGAACCAGTTTTCCCTGCAGAATTGGTCTATAATGCCCGGGGTCATAATTAAGCATCCCATCTAGAAACGAAGTGGTGGCAGCAAGTGACTTCAAAAGCAGGCTATGAGAGTGAAGAAGAATATGTCCATCACGCGACACAGTTCCAGCTTTCTGACCACTTCATACGACTAAGATGATTTATACCGAGGTGTACCAAATAATTGTGTCGTAGGCCTTTAAATCATGCGCCCGGGTAGCCGGTTGCATGCAACGCGCTCGGGTGATAGGGCTCAATGTAATGAGCGGGGTTAATGATATCTCAAAAACTAAGAAAGCCAGAAACACCAAAGTCATAGAATTGTTAGCCCTCTTGTGAAATCAGTTGTGACAAATTTTGAGGCTTTTAGGTCATAGCCTCCTGGTTATATAAGGTCAAACAAAACTTCAGATTGGTGTTCCAAGTATCCTCAGACCACTTATAGAACCACCGTTAACGTAGATACCTCTTCTTAGCAAAAGGTCACTGGAATTTATTTCAGATCAGTGACCTTACTTGACCTTTAGAAACTAAGGTGATCAAGGGCGTTTTGGATTGATTTCATATTTTAATCTAAATGTTTGAAAAGACGTCAACGACTTTGCTGCACGTTATGTTCATAAAAGCAAAAGGCCGGTCGGGAGCAGTTTAGGTCAGTAACCTACTCTGACCCCCATAAGGTCCACAGAAGTTGTCTTTTTACCTCCCTAGTTTGATCAATAAATTTAATTAGCGCCAAATACCGCCTGATAAAAGAATTTCTGAGGTAAGGGAGTGATTTGATTTTGACTTGCGTATGACCTTTATGCCTGACGCAAGGTCAATGTAACCAACTCTTATTATGAATGGAATGGTCTTATAACACAGCACCTCGAGGACGTTTGGCTTCATCTAAGCCCCGATTTCGCATCCAATTGAGTGCTTCCCTTGGAATTGCCGTCGCTGCCAGCTATGGCCTGACTTGGACCAGCCATGGAGCACCGGCCTTATAAGGTGCATCTTATTTGTTATTCCAAAATAGTGGCCGTTCATTGCCCACAGTTACACGAAGTAAGACTATCTACGCTGCGCCGATCGGAGGACATTCTGGAAAGGCTCTGAGCTGGGTCAGCTTGACATCGCCACCCTAGAACGGGGTCAGATTGACATCGCCACCCTAGAACGGGGTCAGATTGACGTAGCCGCCCTAGTGCGGGGTTAGATTGACAGCCACCCTAGAACGGGGTCAGAGTGACATAGCCGCCCTAATGCGGGGTTAGATTGACGGCCACCCTAGTGCGTGTTAACAGATAATGTGTTGCCCAGATGTGATCAATCTCTCAGCAAGCCTAACGACTTCACCCTGTCATTACTGATCGAACATTGAGGTCAAAATAGATGAAATAACAGAATATGAAGTGATGCTAACCATTTTAGCTTAACACAAAGAGATCTAGACCTGACCTGACCATTGCCGCTGTTTGGTTATCTGTGTGGCCCTTTTCCGACGGAGTTGATGGCGGTCTTGACGTTGGTGCTGGCCGCCGAGGAGTGCATATGGATGCTGCTGGTGTTACAGATCTCGAAATCTGTCCACCTGTTGTTTTGTATTGTTATGTTTTTTCTGTGATATATAACGTAGGCAGCGAGGTAACATATACCATTGACCCTATGACATTTGACCTCATGCTGTCGTGTCTGGTCAAGCATCCCAGACTGTTCAAAGTTAAGGAGAGCATCTGCGTGTAAAATCACATGGCAATGCATAAGTTGACAAGTTCATGAATGAGTCGGACTCAGCGGCTTCCAATGAATCTGTTTGACTGGCGACATGCCGCCATGTTCCCATTGCTCTGACCTGCTGTTTGGAGTGGGTCTGTTCGACTCTGGCAGTGAGCGGCAGACGGCTGCGTTTCGCTCTGTCATGACATGTCGCCATGTCCCCATCGCTCTGACACTGCTGTTTGCAGTGGGTCTGTTCGACTCGGGCAGTGAGCGGTAGACGGTTGCGTTTCGATATGCCGTGACATGTCGCCATCGCTCTGACCCTACTGTTTGCAGTGGGTCTCTTCGACTCGGGCAGTGAGGCGCAGACGGCTGCGTTTCGCTCTGCCGTGACATGTCGCCATGTCCCCATCGATCTGACCCTGCTGTTTGCAGTCGGTCTCTTTGACCCAAGACATGTCGCCATATCCCCATCGCTCTGACCTGCTGTTTGCAGTGGGTCTGTTCGACTCGGGCAGTGAGCGGCAGACGGCTGCGTTTCGCTATGCCGTGGACAGGATCAACGCCGACCGTAACCTGCTGCCAAACGTGCGGCTCGTGGCCAGCGTACAGCGCATCCCGCTACAGGACAGCTTCCAGGCGTCCAAGACGGGTGAGCACGAGTGCGTCCCGCCGCAGGACAGCTTCCAGGCGTCCAAGACGGGTGAGAACGAGTGCATCCCGCTGCAGGACAGCTTCCAGGCGTCCAAGACGGGTGAGCACGAGTGCATCCCGCTGCATGACAGCTTCCAGGCGTCCAAGACGGGTGAGAACGAGTGCATCCCGCTGCCGGACAGCTTCCAGGCGTCCAAGACGGGTGAGCACGAGTGCATCCCGCTGCATGACACCTTCCAGGCGTCCAAGACGGGTGAGCACGAGTGCATCCCGCTGTAGAACAGCTTCCAGGCGTCCAAGACGGGTGAGCACGATTCCTCCAGCCGTCCAAGCCCGGTCAGCACAGAGCTCGATCAGGGTTGGGAGGGTCCAGACCAGGTCAGGATAGCGCCGCAATAAGTAGGGGGAAGTGCGAAACTAAATTTCAGCACCTTTCAAAGGTATCACCGGGCGCTGAGCCACAGGGCGCCAATGGGGTACGATTTGGCCTCGGTGTTCTATGCTCCCGGCAGACCCTCATATGTAACTGTAGCTGGGCTCGCGCTGCGGCCTTTATGCCTACAGTTTTTCAAAAAATTGTCTTTCCACCCTCTTAGGTGATTTTGCTTAACGAGGACACAGGCGAGCGAGTCGTCATGAGTCGTGCGGTGTAGCGTTGGAGAAGTTTTCAACCTGAGCGTCCTGTCCCGGTCTAGCCGAAAGGCTTTCTAGAAGATAATGTTTTTACAGTCATTGATTAGGAAGTCGTGCACTTTTCTGCAACGAGAAGCACAATTCTTCAAGATGCACCGTAAAAATTGGGATTTTGCACGCAACTTTTTTGATCATAAGTTATTTTAGTGCAATTTGAACATTCTAACATGCAGCTTACATACGGCAAACACAAATGTGCAATATGCACCATATACAACGAGCAACATGGGCACAATGTAGCCCCCTGCATGCAATTTACATGGGAAGTGTAGAATTTGCTAATCTCAAAGAAGCTGCACAACAGGGTTTGAAACCCAAATCTGTGCGGCCAGGAATCGTGAAACAATTACCTATTGATATAGGAGGGAGCAGTTTAACAGGCAACAGATAGTTGTATCGTACAAATGTGGGATATGTCTCGGCCATGAGCGTGAGCGTCAGCGTTATCACAGGCTCAGTCACCGTGGAGGCCTTTTTGAGGACTGATGTTATACTCAGCAACCAGCGCAGGTATGGATTTGAGACCAACTTCGGGCCAAGAGGCGTTGGTGTATGCATCATCCACCATTCACTTTTTGACCACTGGGAGGTACCCTGTGTTACCTTTTCGAGGGGGGTCACAGGAATGGCACGCTGCGGCCTAAATGAACAAAGAAAAAAAGCGGGCCGTGAAAGTAGCACGGACCTGTGGTCCAATTCATTGCAACCAATACTTACTGAAAATATTTGTGCCTTTCATGGTATCTTGGCCTCAGTCATCAAAAACGCGTATCATCAGGAACTGCTGGATTGGATGGAAGCCGTCAAGCATAGCCAGAACTTTTGTTTTTAACCTCTTACAAAAGACTGACTTTCCAATGCTTCTATCAAGCCTACTTGCATGGACCATCAGAGGTACCTGGCTCCATTTGATATGGTGTGGTTCAAATAAGTATGTCAGTTGATGGCACTCACTTGTTTCAGCATCGTTTTTTTCCGCGCTGCAAAAGCCGGCTTACCGGCATTTTGTAATTTTTTTGAGAGATACATGCTCATGGCTGCGATGCGAACTTTGCATTATTCGATCACCAAATATTTTTGAGTGCTTTTGTCTCCTTGAGCCTTCATACCATTTTGTTTTTTGGATGACGCACCAGAATCATAGAGCTTTACAGTTTTCTGCTGCAGTACTTCTTTATCCAAGCCCGTAGCTAACTAAAATTTCAGACCACATTCCATCGACACTCAGGCCTTTGCAAGCATGCTAATTACCCATTCACATCATAATCTTGCTGATAATTGAAATAAATGATATCAAGGCCAGCATTTTTAAAGCTTTTGCCGGAGATAAAGCTCCACTTTAAGTCTGGTCAATCTGGGGGATTGCGTCTCAGCTCTCAGTAATGTAATCACAGCTTACTGGCTCTGCATCTCAATAGCTGATTGTCTGGAAGCCGATCCGGCCCGACTGCGCGCGGTCTGCAGCCGGCCGAATCTCATAAACGGCCAGACCTCACACCCCGGACGGACAGAGGTGCCGCTGCTGGGGCGGCGTCTATCCTGCTCGCGGCCGAGCGCGGCGCCGCAGCGGCACCTCTGGCACGGCCAGCATTATGCGCGGCGGGGCGGGGAGGCCGCGGCTCATTTCCTGAATTGGTCCCGGACGCGCGGCGGGCGGCGCGCGTGGCTCTGGTGGGAGCGGATGTTGACTCGGGGCGAGCAGGCTGCCGGCGCCGCGCCGACATCGCGGCGGAGATAGATGGAGGGATGCTGAGAGGCAGAGCTGCTGGGCGAGGGAGGAGGGAGTAAAAAAGGGCGTAGGGAGAAAGGAAGAAGAAGAACAAGAGGCCAACAGGCCAAGAGGAAATGGAAAAAATAAAAAGATAAAGTAAAGGAAAGGTAATGGATGAGAGAGCCAAACCGAGAACGATAGACGGAGAGGAAAAAGAGAGGCAAGCCATAGTACAGAGGGACACGGTAGTGAGGGAGAAAACGTCGAGCATCTTCTGACTTGATCTGGAACACCGCTTTTAAGAGAACGCAAAAATCTAGGGCGGAGAAAAGGATGGACACTCGAAGTGACAGCTTCCAACGATATCGATTTATGTGTGACTAGCATCACTTTTTGTACTTTCTGCGCAGTGTAAAAAACAACCTTAGTTTTGATTCAACACATCCCTTCAACACATCCCTTAAAGAGCCTAAATGATAGAATAAAAAATGGAAAGCGCTCGCTTTACAGCGAAAAAGTTTATATGCGCCCCTTTTTGAAATGCCAGAGGAGGGCCCGCTTGCATGTGTTATCATTAAGGGCATTAAGGGCACTTCTCCGTCATTGAGGGCTTCTTCACCCTATTGAAGGCCCTTGATATTGTACCTTTTCAGAACCAATTTTTGCGAGCTGGTTTCTAGCGGTTATTCATGCTCTTTTCTTTTCTGGCCATATGCAGGGGTTTTGCAGAAACATAAAACAATCGTGATAATTTAACGCTCTTCGCAGATCATTCGGGCACGTGGCTACTCGTTTCGAGGGCAAGTAAATATTAGTTGTAATAGTTCCGGTGCTGAAAGCAACCGATCGTCATCGGATAATGAATGCTGGTGAAACAATGATATTGAGCAATGATTAGAATGTTTTAAGAGCATACTCGTCGCTCCAAAGGCAATACTCATCGTCACGGTGAACAAGGTTAAACAAAATCGAGGCCGAACTCCAAGGTACGTGACATGTAAGGTACCTAAACCCTAACCCTAACCCTGAGGTACGTGTAAGAAATAAGACGCTGTGCCGCTCCAGACCGCCCGCGGAAAGGCGGCACATTCGAATGGGTATGGACAAGCTTGGAGGCTGTGAACTTCGGGGGAAGTTTGTGCCAGCTAATAAAGAAACCGATCCGTTTTACAATACGTCCCCATTTGTGGGCGGCCAGCCGACCCGGTGCAGGATGCCCGGCCAGCCGATGGTGACGGCTGATGACTATGGGCTATTGCAACGTCCCAGGATCGGGTTATGCTGTTTTATGTGGAGTCTGAAATGTATCTTCCTTCTTCTTGAACTTGATGAAAACTCTTGGTATCCAAACATCCCAGTGACAAAGTCAGTTTCAGGGCGCCTTGCGCGACGGCGCAGTAGCAGTAGCAAAAGGCCTCCTTACGTATCATCTCACTTTCCTGTATTTTAAGTAAACATGGGAGAAACAAGCATCGAAATTTCCAGCAATCATGACTTCTCCCAAACAATCAGCTGCTCTATGGCCTATTTTGCTGTTTCTGGTCCAAACTAGAGACCCTCTCCCATCACAAGGAGCAGTTTTACAATCGGATTAAAGTTTACGTGGAAGTGTTTTAAGCATGAGTAATTGCTTGAATGCAAAAAAAACATAAGAAGCCTCTTAGATGATATCAAATTTAACGCCTGCGCGAATCCGTAAAAATGGCCGAGTGAGGATTCCTGCACCCTAAACCTATGGCTTTAGCCGTTGCGCACGCATTTGTTCGGCTAACCGGGTCAGCCTGGTCACCCCGGGTGGCCCGTTGGACGATCACCGCGTGGCTGGAAACCAACCCTGAATGAGCAAATAGAAGCAAGAAGACCTTGAGCTCCCGGTTTTTCGAGGCTGGGTGTTCTCAGCACAAGAACCAATAATGCTGAAGAAGTCAGGAGCACAAGGCCTTTTTGTTCAACCAAGTATAGTTCAGTTGTTGGTGACCTTAAAATATAGCTCAATTTGCGATCATTTAGCTCATACTGAAACGTGTTGAAGATGAATCACAGTTCCTATCATCTGCCGGCAAACCTTCTTTTGGCGACGAGTCGAATGAACAAGTAGTTCGATACAATGAATTATGCCGAATGTGGCCGTTTACTGTCACGTCTCGGCACGATTTGGCCGGCTCCCCTGCCTCTCCTTCGAGTGGACAGCGCCCATCTATTGTACCTCTCGTATGGGCTCCCGACGCCCCGTAAATACCGGCCGTCACCGACCAGGCCCAGCATGACCAGAGGCGCCTCCAGGAATGACACTAAGGGAGCAGCGCCTCCAGGAATGACACCAGGGGATCAGCGCGTCCAGGAAGGACGCTAGGGAAGCAGCGCCTTCAGGAATGGCGCCAGGGGATAACACCTTCAGTAATGACACCAGGGGATCAGCGCGTCAAGGAAGGACGCTAGGGGAACAGCGCGTCCTGGAACGACACCAGGGGAGCAGTGCACCCCGGCTCCCTCGGAGCTCGCGCGAATCCCGCGCAGTGTCGCCACTCCCAGTCCGCCGGCTGTCGGCCGAAATCGGACGCCGCCCGGACCGGATGCGCTGCCACCGCCCCTGC